TACTACTATATATATATATATATATATATATATATATATATATATATATATATATATATATATATATATATATATATATATATATATAATTCTGGAATACATGCATTTACAGTCAATGACCAAGTTATTGATTCTATGCTGGTGAAGACTCTCTAGATTCCCTTCACCATTCATTCAATATGAGCATAAAGTTTTATAGTTCAAGGTATGTGAACTCTTAAATGGAAGTAAATTTGAATAGGCATCAAATTTAATATTTCATACTCGATCACCTATAGCCATTTCATAATCCTTGTAGAAACTTAACAGAAAATTTCAAGTTTTTCCAACAAGCATTACGGGGAAGGTCAGGACTAGTTTCCACGTTCAGCTTGTTCAAAGGGCTAAGCACCAGATTACATACAATTTTTACAGGGGCCTTCTTTTGGGATATGGGTGTCTAAGTTCACCACATTGCTTGTCAAAATCCCTCAGGTACCATGTTGCCTGATATTGTAGTTGGGCCACTCAGTAGTATAACTGAATAGGGGATGGTCAAATCAACTGTTCAGCCATCTGGTTTAGTTCATCCTTAAGTGAAAATACACAGACTGAAGTCACCATCTGTTTGAAAGGAAGGAGGAAAGAAAGGAAGGAAAGACTATGTTCAGAAGTGCAGTACCCACATTCTTGAGAAGGTTCTTAAAATGAAGGACATTCAGACTTTGAATGACTTCAAATAAGTTATGAAAGTATTTTGCAGTAAGTCCACCAAAACTAAGTTAGGAAAAGATAAATCAACTGTCCATGTATCATATTTTAGTATTTTTTCAATTAAGGAAATTTTAAAATAATATCTGAGCAATTTGATCAAGTATTTTCCACTTCATAAGTCAAAACAACATTAAAAATCATTGCACTTTTTAATCAATGTGAAATTGTTGTTGTACTTACCATATATGTGTCCAGTATAAATATGGGAGGTATCATAATCAACTACTTTATTTGATATTTCTACTTTGAAGTCATCACTAAAGAGGGACGTATCTCTCTTCATTCGAAGGTTGAAGTGTCTATAAAGTAAACAAAAGATAGTAAACTGAAATATAATTTCAATTCACAAACACTGCTGAATACAGACTGTTAAAATGTGGGTAGTAAAAACACCTTGCAAATCCTTTAAAAATATGGAAACAATATTCCTTACATAGAGCATGAGACAGATAAACATATTACAAGAATGATTTCAGTTCAGTACATAATGGTATTCAGACGTTTCTGATGTAACTATACTAACAAAATAATATAAGAGAGAAATGGCCACTCTTAAAGTTCACAAACCTAATCTTACCTGCTCCAGCCTTAACTATGGATTTTGTTCCCACTCCTCCATAAAACGCAGGAGTAACTGAAGGAAGAGCCATCTTTTCTTTGATAAAGCATTATAAACTATTCAAGTTAGTAATCTCTTCATTTTCAATTTATTTTACTTGCAATTTCCAGCATAGAGACTTAAAGTATAGATATACTGTTGGATTAATTTGATATGAAATTCAAAAGTAAGATGGACGCCAACACTTGTAATAAGTCCACAAATATGTGTAAGGATTACTACATGTAACTATAGCAGTTCAACTATATCTAAATGGAACAGATTTACTTATATTTAACACTCCGACTACATTTAATTCCACTAGAAATATAAATGATCTCTTTGGAAATCAGGAGCACAAGTTTATGTTTCAACCTCTAATACTTAAGTGGAAGAAAAAGTTATCAAGATATAAAATGTCAACTTTGTCCATTTTTTTTTTTAAAAAAACCATGACAATTTTTACAAGTGCTGCAATAACTAATACACCACTAGTGATCCACAGCTATTAGGCCCAAAATTAATTTTCACTCCAACGCTATTATTTGTATTACAGTATGACAAGTGCCACATTAATAAAGTATTTTTTAAAATCAACAACTGCATAGTCCAATTGAACAAAATAATAATTACCTTTACCTGGCAACTTATTTTAGTCATCTAAATTAATCAGGACTGCAACATTTAAACTTCATGTTTTGCATATAGAATCACCCTCCCAACACTAGAAAGCTCTTAAAATAATATAAAATCAACCTGGGTTTTGTTTAATGAAGTTTGCAATATCAGTTTCATTTAGGTCTTTCTATTGTATGACTCTTCCTCACTACAGAAATCCCTTACTTTACATTCAAACAATGAGATGGACACAAGTGCTGCTGCCGCCACTCCTAAACACCGAGAGAGTGGATGCACGTGAAGCCAGACATCTAAAGGCTTGTCTACATGGACACACGGAAGTTAAGGCAAATCAATTAAAGATCCGTACTGACTTTGCACCTTCCGGTAATCTGTCTTAATCTTCCTGAATGTTCCCAGGTACACATCCCCTGAGAGGTGGTCAAGCTTTGGGCTTTTGATCTGTTCTCAAGAAGCACTACTAGCAAGGAACCAAACGCTCCCCTATCAGCAGCGGAACCTACCCAGCTCCAGAATCACATAGGAAGGGAATAGTGGCAGAAGTTGGAGATGCTGTCATTTCCCATTTCCCACATAACATATGCGCTTCATGACACAACTTGAATTCACATGTGCAACACAGACTGACGTTCGTCCTTCTCAAACTACAGAGATAATTGTCCTTACTGAAATCTTGGATGGAGATTGTGTTACAGAATATTATCCTCCTCTTGTAGAGAATCTTACTGAAATCAGGGACTCAATGTTCTAGGCACTATACAAGCATAGCAAGAGATGGCCCTGCTCTCAAGAGCTTACAGTCTAAACATGCAAGACAACACGATATTACCTCCATTTTGTAAATACGAAGCTGAGGAACAGAGATTAAGAGAACTACCCAAGATCCACATAGGAAACCTTTGGCAGGGTATTACCTTCAATCTCCCTAGCCCCGGTCCAAATGCCTTAGCCACTAAACCATCCTTCCCAATTTGTTCTGTGACATAGATGCATGCCATGCTCCACTCTAATATTCTGGGACCGACACGGCTACAACACTGCATACATCCTGCCTCAGATGTCATTAGTAAGGGCCATCCCAGATCTTTACCTCAAATCAAGAAAGAGGGGGTGTCATAAACATACAGCTAAGGGTAGCATAAAATCCCTCCTTTACCTGTAAGGGGTTAAGAAGCTCGAATAACCTGGTGGGCACCTGACCAAAAGGACCAATAAGGGAAGAAGATACTTTCAAATCTGTGGGGGGAGTTTTGTTTTGTGCTCGCTTTGTGGTTCTCTCCGGGACAGAGAGGGACCAGGGCAGGAAAAACGATCT